CGTCTCCTCCAGGAAGCCCTGCCCCGCCCCCGACTCCCGGCGGTGGAGCCCAGGGGCCCAGGGGGGTTCTCATTAGGACCAGACCCCCAGGTGAGGCTCACCCCGGTCTGCTGCCATCCCTCCCCACCTCCCCCCACCCCACCCCACGCACAGGGCTTGGCACCTCTTGGTCTCCAGGGCTTCCCAGGACCTGAAGCCCAGAGCCACACTGCCCAGGCCCCTGGAGGTTCAACTCCCAGGTGGTCCTCAGCCCCACGGCCCAGAGCAAGGGCACAGAATGTCCGTCCTGGGGACACCCTGCCTGACCCCCCATTGGGGAGCAGGCCCACCCCCACCTGAGCTACAGTAGCTCCGTTGTGGCCAGAGAGTGAAGCGACCCTCTCTCCCCTTAACCAGGAAGGAAAGCTACGTCCCCCACTCCACCCGGCCCCGGGCAAGATCCCCAACAGGAACCGAACCCGGGACCCCTCAGTCCACAGGCTGACGCTCTATCCACTGAGCCACACCAGCCAGAGTGAAGAAATGTTCTTTATTGAGGCACCAGGTGCAGGCACTGGACACTCAGCCCTCCCTGGGTCCCACGAGGTAGGAGGCCACTGTCTGGCACCTGACGCCACCCCTGGACAGAGAAGACTCACACCTCCACCCCATCTGGAGCAGAGGCTACGAAGTCAGCTCCATTCTGGAAGGAGGGAGGGTCAGGGCCGACCCACAGGTCAGAGCACCCCAGCTCTCGGCGTCTGGGCCAGGGTCCAAGTCCAAGTGCTCCTCGATGTGGGCCAGCCCCTGTAGGTCCCCCAGCCCCATGACTGCCAGCTCCCCAGCTGGCACTGTGCCCTCAGGCTTCAGAAGCCCAAGGAGAATGCCATGGCTTTTGCTCACGTGGCTGTCCCTGGCCCACCTGAGCCCCTCGCATGGTGCATGGCAGGATCTCAGCACCCCCTCAATGACAGCAGACACTGGGGGGGGGGGGGGCAGGTACAGCCACCCCAACGTGGGCCTCCTGCTAGTACAGACTCTGGCCCTTGGGTGCCCATGGATTCATACACGCCTTCCCATGTAAATACAAGGAACACACATTAGGGCGCATGTGCCACACAACACAGGAAAACATGTGGCTCCAGGCCGTCTGATGTGACACTTGGTGGCTGTCCCTGCCCTGCCACCCCCCGGGGAAGACCCTGCCCAGCTCTCAGGCCTTTGGGTCTCAGCGTTTCCCAGGGTAGCCCCCCACTTCCGGGCTGAGCAGCTCAGACCACTGAGTCCCTGCCCTTTGAGTCTCCAGGGGCCCTGGCCCCAATGCACCACCCCCAAGAGACAGCCCACTGGGACTGAGATCTGGAGACAGACACACTCCCCAGGGGACCCCTCAGGCATTCAGGCCTCCACAGTAAAGTCCCAAGGGAGACCTCGCTTGCTGGGATGTGGTAAGAGGACCAAGGAAGGCCAGGACGCTCTGTCCAGGCTCCTACGCCCACGGCTTGCACACGTGCACATGTTCATGCATTCATATGTGTGCGCAGACTCCCACGGGAGCGGCATGCAGACCAGGGGTCCCAGGCCAGGGGTCATGAGGTGGGAGGCAACCCAGGTGGGAACCCGGCAGGCTGTGGAGCCGGGGTGGGCAGGCTCGGGCCCCTCCGTGAGTTCCAGAGTGGCTCACTGCTCAACGTCCAGGCTGCCTGGGGGCTGCGGTGGCCCTGGGGGCTTGAAGCTGAGGACTTCCTGGTAGGTGAGTTCTGGGGAGTGAGGGGGAAGGTGAGCCTGTGCTGCCACCAGCCCAGTGCCCCCCAGTACACACTTGTCTGGTGCCAGCCACCAGCCCAGGCCCACCACCATCCAGGGGCAGCCTCGGCCCTTGTCCCTTCCAGAACCTGCCCTGTGCTGCCCCCTGCTCTACTGGATGTACCAACCCCATCTCTAACCGACCCCTTGGAGTTGTGTGGGGGCATGTTGTCCCCTCCCAGACCACCCCGAGGATGAGGTGAGGCCCTCCTGCAGCCAACAGGCAGTGCCCGGCCTCCAGGGAAGGCGGCCCTCAGGCCCCTGGGCGCCCCCTCCCCCCATTTCCCT